TGAATGTTTCCTTTTTTTAAAAAATAAAACGTGAATAAAAATTTGAATAAATATGTGTTGGGGCGCACCCACCTTCTCATCAGAATGGACTGATCTCTCTACTACTAATAGGACAGTTCTATAGAGTTCTGGGAGATCAGGTGACCATCACACTTCCGTCTCTCTACCGGAAGATACAGTTGGACTTTTATACTCTTTCTGATTGTTACTGACTAACCTGCGTTCGTTTGACTACTAATCTCTCTGTTGTAAATACCTCTTCAGATATACCAGTATTTTTCCCTACGTATGTGTTTGTCCTTATTTCAATACACGCACGCGGAAACACTCAACATCTCAACAATATGTGAATTCTTCATTTTCCCTTCTATATTTTAAGCTAATTTAATAAATCCTAATACAGTCCCCACCAAATTTAAAATGTGAATATCTGTCCCAGGTAAAGGAAATTAAATACGCTTTGTAGTGAATAATAAAAGATTTATTTATCAAAATTTGAGCGAGATATTTAAAAGTATGTAGATTTTATAATCCATTTCACAAAGCTTCACAAATATTCAATATGCGTGATACGACACACGTTAAGTCAGTAGTCCAGCTCCTACGAAACACGTTGTAGCATGTCTTGTGTAACATTCTCCAGCGCCTCAAAGATTCTCTGCTTGAGTTCTTCTAGGCTTTAGGAAGACAGTGTTTATAGACCTGTCCTTTCACTTAGCCCCATAGAAAAAGATCACGAGTCAGGTGAACGTTGTGGCCAATTCAACACCATATTGTCATTATAACTGACACGCATGATCCATCTCACTGGTAGATTCTCATTGAGATAAATCCGCACTGAGGCGCTGGATAATGTTACGCAAGACATGCTACAACGTGTTTGTCAGGAGCTGGACTACTGATTTAACGTGTATCGTGTCACAGGGGGTGCGCACATTGAGCCTTTGTGAAGCCTTGTGAAATCAGTTATAAAATCTATATCCCTTTGAATATCATGTCCGAATTTTGATGAATAAATCAGTATCAAGCCTATTTAATTTCGTTTGCCTGGGACATGTAATTACTCAGATACTCACATTTTAAAATATATCAATTTTGCGGGGCGCTCTCTAGTTTAAATATAATTCTTGTTTATCAATATCTAGTTATTTTTCTCTAGAAGCGCATATAATTATTTATATCTTCGTAATTTCACGAGTTTTGTAACACAGCGCAATGAAATGAAGTTTTCAAAAGTAAGTAACATAGCAGATGACAAAGTGTTGATAAAACTCTAAGAACCCCTAGAAAAGATAGAAAAGGAAAGCGTGAAGAAAGGACTAACTATTAATTGTAAGGGGATAGTATGCGCAGTGGTTAGCAAGAGGCACAGCCTAAGATACGAGCTACGAATTGGAGATAGAATAATCAAGCAAACACAGGGTTTTGAAATATCTGGGAAGTATTTTAACAGAGGACTGAAACTGGGACAAAGAAAACCGAAGGAGCATTAAAACAGAGAGAAGTGGCTTCCAAAAGCAATCGAAAGTATTAAAAAAAATAGGAAATTTTTGTTAGAAACAAAGCAAAGAACACTGAAACGACAATTTGGTAACAAAAGAAGCGATTTGCAGCATCAAAGATATGATCCTGCAGAAGGATGCTGAGAAGAAGATGGTCGGGACAAGTAAATGTTGTGGTTTTGTTAGGGCCAGAAATAAAGACACAAAGAAAGAGAACTGAGTTAAACAAATATAGTAACAGGGACACATAATACAACATATACAACACATAATACAACATATACAACACATAATACAACATATACAACACATAATACAACATATACAAACGAGAGTGTTACAGCAAGAATGTGAGGCCCGACTGTCAGAAATAGCTACTGGAAACTTCCCTATCTAAAAGGCAGTACCTGCTCCTATTTATAGCTGAGAGAGTCCAGGCGTGCGTGGGCAAATTACCATAACGGTAAGGAACGGAAAATTTTCAGGAATTTAGGAACGAAAAGAAAACATTACTTAGCACCAGAAAGAGTTAGCTGAAATTTCTGGAAAATGTAATGATGGAAGAAATCTTGGAGAATTTAATACTCACAGAATATAATGAAGGTAAGGACACACGGAAGCAGCGAATAACATACCTAAAAAAGCTTGTGGGAGTGGATTATAGAATATGAAAACTGAAGGATACTAATGGCTCAAATGTTTCTAAGGGATAAAAAGGAAAGGAACTCCTGGAGAGTGAAGAGTTTCCACGTTCTAGAGGGATATAAGACACGGTGAGGTTGAAGTTTGCTCTCCATGGGACAAAAAGCCTGGTCAAGGTTGATGGCGGTCTTGTGCTGCCCAAATAGCAACACCTTTCGCTGGGCTTGTCCCATGGGAACCAAAGAAGACCGGTACATTTAAAAGACATATATCAGATGATCAATGACATTATCAGTGAAGGCTTAACGTTTTTTTTAAGCGTTTCACCCCAAGCAAGGCGAGAAGCCACTAGGACGCAAGGGCTAACAGAAAATTTGGAGCAAGATCAGATAGAAGTGATAGAGGAAAAGACGAATAGAAGGATAGTGGATAGATCAAGGCAACTGGAGATGTCGATTGACATTACATTTGAATAGCTGGAGATTATAGCTATCAGGGAAACTGGAATAGGGAAGGGAGTTCCACAGACGAGAGGTGCGAGACATAAGAGCTATTGGAGTAGAAAAGACAGCTACATTTAGGAGTTTCGACAGTGAAAGAGTGAGAGCGGGATGCCAGCCTCGTAGGGCGCTTGAACTCATGAAGTCTGGCAACCAGCGAATGCAGCTCCTCGGAGCAATTGCCATGAAAGTATTTGTAAAAAAGACAGAGAGAGGCGACGGCGCGTCTGTGAGAAAGTGACTGTTGACGAGATGCCAGAACAGGGCCAATTATAATGCATATCCACCTCTGGAGCCTATCAAGAACCCCGAGGCAAACTCTTGAGAGACGGGATTCCAGTTCAGAGAATGGACGACTGGACATTGGATACAAGGATCTTTCTGGAGGCATCGCCATGTAGCAATACCTGGATGAGACGGGTCATCCTCTTCCGTTCTCACGTTTTTATTTATTTTTATTTTTATTTATTTATTTTTTTTTTATCGGGATATTTCGCCTGGTTTTCGGCAAAGTGTCGTTCTTATCAAAATTTTAATGTCGTTAATCCAAACAAAATGGTCTCCCTATCTTTTCTCTATTTATTCTTTGTGTTGCTCAGATAAGATATCCAAATATATATATATATATGTGTGTGTATGCGTGTGTGTATGTGTGTGTGTGCGTGTGTGTGTGTGTGCACATACCCATACGTATAGGCGTACAGACACACGCATACTCCCGCACGCGTACAGACACAAGCATAGTCGCGTCCGTACGCATACACACACATACACAGAACAAATTCAACCTAACACTAATAAAAAACCGTATAAATTATTTTTTAACTTAATATAAAATAACGAAAACGAAAAAATTCACAGACATTTACTGATATCTTTCTTTTTCTCTATCTCCCTCTTAAATGGCTTTTCCTTTATTTGCAGTTTTTTCTTTTCTTTTTCTCTCTTTTTTCTTCTTTATTTCTAACCAGTTTTAAATTTTAAATTAAAAAAAGAAACGTTACGATCAATTTTTTATCAAAGGTTTTAGTTTTGACAAGCTCCAGGGAATTTATCCCGAGGAGTGAAATGGCAATAAAATGCGGTACACACATATACAAAATATATATATATATATATATATATATATATATATATATATATATATATATATATATAATTCACTTGTAAATATTTATCGTACATTGCTAACGTTATATAGAGGAAATTTCGGATCAAAAATCAAACATTAGCTCTCAGAGTACAGAGTATGAATTCAAACTTTTTTACATAGGTCATATATATATATATATATATAATTGCTGGCCACTTGTATTCAAGGATATCCGTCAATCCCTAATTCAGAAAATGTAAATTTACAGAGCATTAATATTATAAATTAATTGATTTAAAATATGTTTTTTTTCGCTACACAGTTCTAACCATGTATGCCTGTGAAAGTATCCTCTTAGCTGCGAATATAAATCACACTACCTTTGAGAACATCATAATTGATCGTAATGATTGGAAGATTACATGCTACAATGGCATCAAGAACAAGGCAGCATCAAACATTGTCAAGCTTCGTCAAACTAGGGAAAGGAATAAAATACCTGCTGCTGTTCCAGCCATATACTCCTAGAATCCACACTCTTGCACAATCTGTGGACGAGCGGGACTGAAGTGTCACTTGCGACTCACACACAAGGTTAAATAAATAAAGTTGTCGGAACCTCATACGTCGAAACCGACGGTAGAGTCCATCATATATATATATATATATATATATATATATATATATATATATATATATATATAGATAGAGAGAGAGAGAGAGAGAGAGAGAGAGATTTCCATTATTGCTTAATAGTTCGCCAGGTAATTTTGAAGATAGTTACTATTTATAAAAATTGATTTTGATGATCAATGGTTGTCCTACGTATGTTTTATTCAACAAAACTAAGCTTCGTCATTAGCTATATATAAAGTGAGAGAGAAACTTCTTAAAAATTCCCAGCAATAAATAATTTCGTATTGTCAAATTTGATTCTTTTGTTCAATTGTATATGACTGGATTTTATGAACAAGGGAGAAATGTGTCACTCTTTTTTTCTTTTCTTTTTTTCACTCGCACTATTATTTATAGAAGCGCTTGTTTGCCGCCCGGAACTGTTAAAATAAGGTAATTTTATTTCCACCTTTTTCGTGAATATTTTAAAGTTTTTTTTTTTTTCTGTCATAGAGTGCATATTGCTCGTGAAAGTCGGCCGTTAAGAAAAATGCTTTCGTTTTGGTTTCCATTTTTGTTCGCCGATTTCTTTCTTTTCTTAATTTCGAAAAAATTCTTCAAATTAAAATCCTTTTCAAAGATTGTAACATGTTTATTACTCTTTCATGCTATCAAATAAAAGCAGACGTAGAAAGAAAAGAGAAATACAACGAAAAAAAAAGCAAAGAAAGAAAAAGAAAATTAAAGAAAGTTTGTCTGTACATTGTCTTCTTTCCGCTTTTGTTTCTTTCTTTCTTTCTTTCTTTCTTTCTCTTCTTTTCTCTGCTTTTTTCTTTTTCTCTATTTTTCTTTCTTTCTCTCCTTTTGCTTTCTTTTTTTAATTTTTTCGTTCTTTTCTCTTTTTCTTCCTTTCTCTCCTTTTTCCTTTCTCTCTTTTCTTTCTTTCTCTTCTTTTTCCTTTCTGTTTTTTCTTCCCTTCTCTCCTTTCTTCTTTCTTTTTGTCTTTTTCTTCCTTTCTTTTCTTTATCTCCATATCTCTTTCTCTCCTTCTTAATTCCTTCTGTCTTTTTCTTTCCATCTGTCTTTTTTCTTTCCTTCTTTCTTTCGTCTTTCTTTTTCCTTTCCTTTCTTTATCTTTCTTTCAATCGTTCTTTTCTTTTTATTTCTTACTTTTACTTTCTTCTTTTTATTCTTGTTTCCCATTTATATTTTCATTATTTTTTCTTTCTTTCTCTCTCTCTCTCTTTCTTTCTGTTTCTTTAGTCTTTCTTTCCCTTTCTTTCTTTCTTTCTTTCTTTCTTTCTTTCTTTCTTTCTTTCTTTCTGTTTCCTTAGTCTTTCTTTCTGTCTGTTTCCTGTGGCACCATGCATACCTAGCGAGCTGAAAAGAAATATTCATAAATATATGATTTGTTTTTTACGGTTTGTCAACCATTGGATAATTATTTAGGGCTGAAAAATATTTCGGGTTTTAGGAATAATTCTTTCTTTACATTCAAGCGATCTGGGAGAAAGAAAGAGAAAACGAAGAAGAAAGAAAGAAAACATAATACGAAACCAGGTCATAAGCGAGCACACACGGGCACGGCTGACAGATACCAGATGTCGAAAAATGTCAGGTCAAGCACCTGACCTACTTCCGTGTCCACGAAAAATGGAAGTTTGTTATCAAATGGTTGAAGAAACGAAGTTTAGGGACAATGAAAAATATGATAGGTAACAGGTGGGAAGTGTATCTAAGGATATGAAGACAAACCATTAATACGAAAACATAGACAATTTCCAGAATTGGAAAAAGCCACACAAGATGATGTTCGCTGAAAATGTTTTTTTTTGAGATAATGAAAATTTTTGTTATCGGGCCTTTGGCCGGGAAAAAGTGAAATATTTTTATTCGTTCACGGAAACGCCAACAGGTCTGAGAAATCCCTTTCATAGGTCATATCCAATTAGCGATAAGCTGCTTGACAAATACCACGTGTTAAAAAGCCGAAGGTGTCATCGCAGTCGCTCATGATAACGGCGATTTAAATTTTTGTTTTTTTTAAGCAAGGTGTTTCTTCCCCCAGAACAAAGCCACGGATTGTCCACACCCGACTAAAGACGTCATTGGCTAAATAAGATCACATGACACACGAAGGAGGAGAAAGATACCCGACCAGGACGTCATTGGCTAAATAAGATCACATGACACACGAAGGAGGAGGAAAGATACCCGACCAGGACCTCATTGGCCGAAAGCGGTCACATGACATACGAAGAAGCGAAAGAAGCGGGTATACGCCCCTCAGAGGCACAGTAAGGAATTGGGAGTGAAAGTGAGTTACCGAAAAGGGAAAATCCCTAACCAGAAATAAGAAGGGTGGATACGTATTTAGAATTATCGAAGAAACCCTGGCGCCGACAGACCCACCCCAGTTTTGACTGCGTCAATAAAAGCGGGACCCCAACCGACAGAAATCAGAGTTTGCGCCGCGGACGGCGAGGGAGTTTGAGCGCGGACGGCGGGCCAGGTTCATTCGCCCCTTTGCGGGCAAGAGAGGCCAGTTCGTTTGGCCTAAGTGAAGAAGTTCGTCCAACCCAAGCCTAAGTGAAGAAGTTCGTCCAACCGAAGCCGAAGTGAAGAAGCTCGTCCAACCGAAGCCGAAGAGAAGAACAAGTAGTTTGAGAGCGGACGGCGAGAGAGTTTGAGTTGGAGTTTGAGCCGTGAACGACAAGCAGAGATGAGCGCCCAGTGTTGAAACCGCGTCAAGATAGCTGACCAAGATTCACGCACACTTCTGGACTCTTCTTCAACCAAGAACAAGTAGTTTGAAGAGCGACTTAGAATCAGACCACAGAAATAAGTTTGTTTTTTTTTCGACTTTCGTCCAAAGACACACCGAAACACAAATTTCTTAGAGAGCAGACAACTGGAAGCCTTAAAGTTGCCTAGTAAAAGCGTCGTGCCACAATCCACAGAACGGGTCGGGAAGTAGACATAGTCCTATGTACCCAGCAAATAGACATAAAAAGTTTGTTACCTTTTTCTTGATACGTTGGTCCTTGTGAGTTTTTATTTTATTTCTTTTTTTTTATACATAATTGTGTGTTATCACCCCCGTTAGACTCAACTTGCATTACGGCCCCAAAGCCCTGTTTGATCTCGTCTGTCTAAGATCAAGTCACAACGTGGGTAGGCAGACCGGAGATCAGTGCAGTTACCCTGGTAACCAGGCGTTGGAAGCGGGTTGAGAACGACGAGGCTGGTATCAATCTAAACAAAGGGTTAGAACGTCACGTTTGGAGCAGCGAGGAGCGAACAGCTGACGCCACGACAAAAGACGTCACAACTGGTGCTGTCCGTGACCAGGATATCAGAGCCTGGGGAGCACGTGACGTCACAATTGGCGCCGCGAACGGGATCGAACGACACAGTCGACGCTGCGACCGGGGGACGACGTCACATCCTTAGTCTTTCTTTCTTTCTTTCTTTCTTTCTTTCTTTCCCTTTCTTTCTTTCTTTCTTTCTTTCTGTTTCTTTAGTCTTTCTTTCTGCTTCTTTAGTCTTTCTTTTCCTTTCTTTCTATCCTTCTCACTTTATCTTTTGACCTCATTTCTTTAATTTATTCTTTTTTTCCTTTTTTCTTTATATCAGATTTAATGTACTTTTAATACATTTAAAGTTTTTTTTTTTTTTCATGGAAAGCACAACAGAGGAACAAGGCATTGTAATGTTTTTGCGTGATGACAGTTTTATTAAAAATGACCATATAAGAAACTTATTAACAATGACCATATAAAAAATTTATTACCTCACAAGAAAAATATAATGATTATGAGTTGTAGCAGAAGAACTTTGTTAATTGAACCAAAATCAGAGAAAAAAAAAACAAAAAAAAAACACTGAAAATATTAGCCAAATGAGAACAAAACATTAGTCAAAAAGAAAAAAAAAAGCCAAATTAAAAAAAATAGTTTTAACTAAAATAAGAAGAGTAAATTGAACAACAAGAAAGTATTTGGCAAAACGAATGGAACAAACAGAAAAGGTATACAATAATAAGTATGTTGGGTAGAGGCATGAAACTAACCAAACTGCATCACAAATAAAACCGTGTAAAAGTGAATTTAGTATTCATTGTATCCCTAAAGTTTTTTAAAAAATAATTTTGCTCCAGGCAAAGCAATAAAGCCACTAAGACGCAAGAGATTACTGAACGTGAGAGAATATAAAATAAAATAAAAAAACGTTATTAAGTAGAAAGAAAAATAAAAGAATAGAAATTAAGACAAAAATAACGATTAACATTGTATTGACATTTTTGAAGATCAAAGTTGACTGGAATGCAAGAAGCCTGAAGAGAGTTCCACAATCTAGAATTGCGATTAAATAAATTGTTAGCATAGAACTTTCGGTTAGAGGTAACCATTTCAGCTATAAAATGATAATCCATAGCGCCAATTAAATACTGCGCTTGAATTGATAAAGTCTAGATTCCATAAAGTTTATCAGAACAATTACCATGAAAGTATTTATAGAAAAGGCAGAGGGAAGCTATATTTCGACAGTGGATATGACTTGATGGACCTGATGTCTGGGGCTAGAAGTTGGGTCGTTCCTGCAAATATTCAACTCGCTAAGATTTTTTACCCTGACAGGTGGTTTTTGATAATTTTGCGAGACGATCAAAAGATAAGATACTTACAAAAATTATTAGTCGCGTTATCTGTTAATTCCTTCTTGGCACAATTTATGGTAAGCTTAAATTAGATTTGATGACCCCACACCCCTCTCTCTCTCTTTCTCTTTCTCTCTCTCTCTCTCTCTCTCTCTCTCTCTATATATATATATATATATATGTGTGTGTGTATTAAAAAATATACATTTTTCCTCACGGGTAGCACGACTGGGATTTTCCTGCACAACGAGGAAAAGTTGTATATTTATTAATTTATAGCGCCATTTTATTAACAGCAGCAGTATTATATATATATATATATATATATATATATATATATATATATATATATATATATATGTGTGTGTGTGTGTATGTGACGATTGCATTTAAGCCGCTGTGGCCGCTGGGTATTCTCCTTAATGTCCACTATTATATTTACACACACTCTATCCCTGATATTGAACGCTTTAACGCATGAATATAGCATACCGTAAAACTACTTTTTCATCATATATATATATATATATATATGTGTGTGTGTGTGTGTGTTTGTGTGTGTGTGTGTTTGTGTGTGTGTGTCGGTGTGTGTGTCGGTGTGAGTATGTGTGTGTGTGTGTGTGTGTGTGTGAATAAATTCCCAGTGAACTGTGACCGACTACAAGTAAAGTTTTCATGCGCTTTCACGCTATCATCAGCTCGTCGGCAAATGTTATTTGTGAAAATGGCCACTATACTCCAACAGGAAGTTCAAGGGGTTATAATGAGGCGATAGTTGATGTGCACAATTTATGCACACCCCAAACAATCTCACCGAGGCGGTTGGGTGTTGAGATGCTCGTACGGCCAAGTGTTGGAAATGCCGAAAAATCACCATTAGTTGGCGAGGAAGAGTGCCTAAAAAGAGTTTGATACCATGGGATATATATATTTAAATTTTATATATATATATATATATATATATATATATATATATATATATATATATATATATATAGCTGACCACAAGCATTCAAAGATATCTATCTACTAGGGCGGCTAACCAATCCCTATTTTGTCTCAAGACCTAATACAATTAATTATTAACTTTTTTGCTTTTTTATCTCTTAAATTTCACTCATCTTCTAGCTCTTGAAAATACATTTTCAATTGAGCACCATTGAACAAAAAGCTAATTCTAAAAAACAACGTCAAATGCGTAAATGCGAACCTCTTTAGTAAAATGAATGGAGCATTTTGGCTGGTTGGAGTTGGTTTACATTTGTAAAAAAAACAATACACTAGATTTGGCTGATTCGCTCTGTCTAGTGAAGATGGCTCGGTGGTAGAAGCTCTGACTCACAGTTGGGTTTCGATCCGGGCTTAAGGCATTCGGTTGTCTAGCGAATGAGACACACACACACACACACACACACACACACACACATATATATATATATATATATATATATATATAATCATTCACATACAAGCCTGTTTCGCTGAATCGCAGCTCTTTAGTGTGGGTAGACATCCGATTGCTTCAAGTCCGAAACACGGCAGAGAAAGGGAAATTCTAACACTTTATATGCGAGATGTATACGAACTCCAGCAACCAGAGAGCTCAATTCGTTAATGAAGTGCGGCGCGTTAATAACGGCAATAACTTCTCAATAGTGCTCACTCAAATTAACGAGAGCGTAACATAATCGTTCACATATATTTAAGCAGCATATTTTCATCCAAGTATGCTAATTTTAAAATAATTATATATATTAGTCTTCGCAATTTATCATTGATATATATATATATATATATATATATATATATATATATATATATATATATATATATATATGCAAATACGTATACACACATATGCGTGTGTGTGTGAGAGAGAGAGAGAGAGAGAGAGAGTATTCAGTTTGTCTTCTTTATATTACGCAGGACCACACAAGTTTTTATCTTCGAAATAGGCAAATAATATATTTTGATTCTCGCAGAAGGAATGAGTGGCATTCAGGGCCATGATTTTTTTTTTGTTTGTTTTGAAATGTGTTCGTTGAAGGCGTTGCAGAGTATGTCGAGACGACGTTGTTATTTCTGTCCGCAAATCAGACCAGGTATTTTGTTTTCGTCTCTCCCCACCACCAATTTTCTTTGTTCTCCACTTTTTCTTCTTTCAAATTTTCTTCTTCCTTTTTGTTCTTTCTGTTTTTTTTTTGTTTTTTTTTTTTATCAACGAAATAACATGTCTTAAAAACTTCTGTTTCCACTAATGCCTTTTCCAGTTTTTTTTTTTTTTTTTTTTTTAAATCCAGGAAAATTACCAAAAGCAGGGGAAAAAAATGAAAAGCGGACGAATGAAAGAAGAAAATTCTCAGCGGGGAGGAATTTGAGAAAGAGGAAACGAAATATTCACAAACGATACAGATCTTAAATAAAGAAATTAGATGCGGTTTAAGAGTCGAATAGTAATTTGCCGATTTGGGACGATATATATATATATATATATATATATATATATATATATATATATATATATATATATATATATATATTTTGAAGTAAAAGTATTGGTTCTTAGATTATTTTCTTTATTTTTTTCCAATTAACCATTCCGAATTTGATTTGGTGACATTTATTTACTCGGTTCTTTTACAATTATGTGCCGTGTCACTTTAGGACGTTGGCGATAATGTTGTTGGTATCTTTTGTGTTTGTAAGCAATGTTTGTCTCTTTACTTCGCCTCCTGACCCTTTTTCTGGCATCCATTTACATAAGCTCTTTAGGTGGGTTCCTTGATGTTTCCTTCTTTCTTTTTTGTCTTCACTGTGTCCTGGCCTGAAGATTGCTTTCATTAACCCCAGTATCCACTTGACACCATTTGTCATAAGGAGCCCTTTGAGTTATTCAACTAGAAAGAGAAGAGGTTAAAATCGTTTTGTGTTATCCACACTATATCTTCCCAACTGAGCAACGGTAAGTGGAAAAAAATCATTCAGGCCTTCAGTAATAGCACTAACACTCATACTCTGGTTTCCATATTCAAAGTTCATTCAAGAACCACCCAGAGAATGGTGCATAAGTTTAAAAAAGAGGGGGCAGTTGAGAGAAAAAACTGGATCGGGAGGTCACAACAGCAAGAGGTATCATCATTTCAACTTAGAGTTAAATACATTCTTATTGTTCAAAGTAGAGTTCAGTAGTTTATAAAAACGTCGGAGAATTCCAGTAAGATATATTTAATCATTCCTAAGATAAAATGATTCAAAGCTTAATCTAAAAATTGGAAAATGTTTCCTAGTCTTTCTTAGCTATGAAACAGCTCTAATAGATAGTGGATTCCCAGCAACACTCACATACTCACCACAGAACACAAAAAAGGCCAACAGGAAAAGAAATATCATATGGTTCAACCTACAGTACAACAAACGTAAGAAAAATATTCTTCAAACACTTACACAAACACTTCCCGGAATCAAACACCATACACAAAATATTCCACAAAAACACAGTAAAAATCAGCTACCGTTGCACCGAGAACATGGCACAAATAATAAAAAAGCATCACAGGAAAATTATCAACAAACCACACAAACAATTTAAACCCACGTATAACTGCAGAAAAAAGAACGAATGTCCATTAAACGGTAATTGTTTACAAGACAACGTAATATACCAAGCCACGATAAAATCACCAGATAATAAAGAAAAAGTATACATAGGAGTAACTGAAGGACCCTGGAAAGAAAGAAATTATGCACACAAAACATCTTTCACAAATAGTAAATATGCAAACAGCACAATGTTTTCTAAGTATATCTGGAAAATTAAAAACAAAACGCACATCACACCAAAAATATCATGGAAAATAAGGAAAAGATCATCGGCCTATAACAACCAATCAAAAACTTGCAAACTTTGCTTGGAGGAAAAAATAACTATC